AGTCGATGGAGAAGGTTATTGGGCAGTGGGTTGTTGGGTCTTGGTTGGTAGTGGCAGTGGTTATGGAGAAGGTTGCTGGGCAGTGGGTTATTGGGTCGCTGCCTTGATTGTCGTAGTTGCTGGATTTATGGAGATGGTTTCACCGGTTTCTTGGGAAGGATGCAGGGTTGAGCAGTAAGGCAGTAAGGTGACTGGCCTGTAGTGGTGGTTGGGTTAGCAGTGGTGGTGGCAGCTTGTTGGTTGTAGCTGTGGATTGATTATGATGGAGGTTAGGGTTAGGGTTTGGCTCTGATACTAAGAAGAGGAATATGTATGAGTCAATTGAATGCAAACTAAGTGTAGAGCCTCCGTATATATAGCCAATGAAAGTTACAATAAGGATAAAAAGGTAAAAAAAGGAAAAAAACTTAATAAGTTCTAATAAACTAGGCTGCTATATCTCCAACACATTCCATCCCAACTCAACAAATTGAAATTTTATAATAAACCTNAGGTGACTGGCCTGTAGTGGTGGTTGGGTTAGCAGTGGTGGTGGCAGCTTGTTGGTTGTAGCTGTGGATTGATTATGATGGAGGTTAGGGTTAGGGTTTGGCTCTGATTCTAAGAAGAGGAATATGTATGAGTCAATTGAATGCAAACTAAGTGTAGAGCCTCCGTATATATAGTCAATGAAAGTTACAATAAGGATAAAAAGGTAAAAAAAGGAAAAACTTAATAAATTCTAATAAACTAGGCTGCTATATCTCCAACACATTTCATCCCAACTCAACAAATTGAAATTTTATAATAAACCTATTTTATCATAACTATAAACTGATTTCATAATTAAAAAAATAAATTAAAATTTTACAAACTCTATTCAACACCCAAATTAATTAACACACAATCTCTAAAATTATGGAAGTAAAATAAATTAACATACATTATTAATCTAAATAACCCTAACATTCATCAAATCAAGACACTATAAACCTATTTCACANCTATAAACTGATTTCATAATTAAAAAAATAAATTAAAATTTTACAAACTCTATTCAACACCCAAATTAATTAACACACAATCTCTAAAATTATGGAAGTAAAATAAATTAACACACAATATTAATCTAAATAACCCTAACATTCATCAAATCAAGACACTATAAACCTATTTCACAATTAAAAAAAATCAAATTGAAAGAAATATCATTCAAAAACCCAAAAAAAAAAAACTAAATTAAAATTTTATAAACTCTATTTAACACCCAAATTAAACACCCAATAGAACACCAATTCTCAAATTTTAATTAGGTCAACCTCCTAATAATAATCAACTCAACTTATATTCCATCCACCTTAACATTCATAACTTGAAAAAAAAATTGAANAAATTAAACACCCAATAGAACACCAATTCTCAAATTTTAATTAGGTCAACCTCCTACAAAATGAACACTCAATAATAATCAACTCAACTTATATTCCATCCACCTTAATTTCATAATAAACCTATTTCCTCATAACTATAAAAACACATAAATTAAACACCAAAATTAAAAAAAGCCAAATAAAAAACACCAAAATTACAAATACCAAAATTAAACACAAATATTCAAAAACCCAAGTTCAAAACCCAAACCCAGATTTGTGTGTTGTTGTGTGTGTGTTTTGTATCTGTGTTTGTGTGTGATGTTGTGTGTTGCGTGATTTGTGTGTGTGTTGGGTGATTTGTGTTCTATTGTGTGTTGTTGTGGTCTATGTGTGTGTGTTGTTATTTGTGTCTGCGTTGTGTGATATGTGAGCTGCTGGGTTTGGTGTNTGTTGTGGTCTATGTGTGTGTGTTGTTATTTGTGTCTGCGTTGTGTGATATGTGAGGTGCTGGGTTTGGTGTTGTGTTGTGGGTTTGAGTGTATGTGTTGTGAGCGAGAGAGAGAGAGAGAGAGAGAGGTGTACCTGAGAGGAAGCTATTGCTACTATTGCTAGTGGTTTAGCCTTGGCGATGAGAAGTTTGTGAGGGTTGGTTTAACAAGTAGATGAGTAGAGAGAGAGAGTGTGGGTCGGTGGATTCAAAAATGGGGGTTATTTTGGGCTAAGGGGGTGGCGTGTGCGTGGGGTTAAATTGGGCGGGAGAAGCAATTTGTGCGGGATTCATTATGGACCTTTGTATTAAATTAGAAGATTTGAGATGAAATTTGGGTCATTGAATAAAAAGTAAATTAAATCTGAACCATCCTTGTACTTTCCCAATTGGATTAAAATTGAATTAAATTTTGAAGTGAAAAAAAATTTAAATTTGGTTCTATCTTATTATTATGGATGGTACATGCATATATATATATATATATATATATATATATTGCATTGATATGCTTGGATGTTTGAATTAAATCTTTTCTAATAAGTATGAGTGACTTGCCTAGAGAGACTTATCACGTAGTGAAAGACTAGGTCAAGGAAATTAATCATACTTAGAGTGTTTTAGCCTACTTTGACTGCAAGAAGTTGAGGAAATATTGGTGGACATAGAGACTAATCAGGGGAGCGATAACGACTAGTTGATAATTTTTCTATATAAATAAGACTCTTGTTATAGAGAGAACCATCATTGAGAAATACCCAGTTGTGAGAAAATCCATTAGAGGTGAAATCTCAAGCTACTGCATTTATCGAAGAGAGTTTTTAACTCTTAAAGGCTAGCTCCCTATTCATCACATAACATAGGAGTGGGAAGTTACATATTTTGTATTTTGAATACAAAGTTATCCACTGATTGGTTACATAAACAGTTGTCTGAATAAGAAGTTATGAGGAGTTATCCAAGTAAAAGATTAAGTTATTCCGAAAATGTTAAAAGAATTCAATAATGGGTAGCCACATAAGATTATGCAAATTAAAATATTTAAAAAATCCAAAAAAATAGGATTGGTAGAATGAACGCCTCTCCTCATTTCCAAATACATTCTTTTAGTATATAAAGATGAGCGGGAGGTGAAATTCACCCAATTCCTCTCTGAGTTTGGAACAAGATTTCTGTCTGTGCACTCGGGAGGGATTTGTTGTATGTTAGTAGGTCACTTGTTTATTATTACTTTTCGTCTATGTTTCTTTGTGACCCAAATGAAAACTGTCCTTTAATCGGATCGATGAAAAATAGAGATCCGTCAAACAAACATAACTCTAACTTGCTAAATAGAGCTAAAGCTTCCCCAGTGTACTTATCCTCACCCATTATCCCTTATAAGATCACTCCAAGAAGGCCCCTATAATATCGGAGTACATAGCTGCTTCTTCAAACTGATTGATCAATGGCTAAAATTATGGATATGCTTGATCTTGATAGACACTAGGGGTGTGTTTGGTAACACAAATTCAACACTTAAAATAAATTCATTCTACACTTATTAATTAAGCTATAATATTAATTTTAAAAGTTTAAAGCGCTCAACAAAATTATTTTTAATTATATTTATAATTTGACAATTATATCATGAAAAATTTTACAATCCTATTAAAACTCTAGTTAATGTTATCTCCAAGACCCCTAACTTATCTATTGTCCTCGATCATCTTTTTCAACGACAAGTAAGTCTTCTTCAGACCCATGTNTTATTATTTATTTTCTTTTTTTTGGATCAGATATTATTATTCAATTATTGTGTTATTCAATTTATTATTGTTATTAAATTATTTATTAGTAATTGTTCACTTATTAGAAGGATAAAACTGAAAATTAATTAATTTTTAGACGTCAATTTTGTGTAATTATCAAACAATTTAGTTTAATTTAATACTTAAATTTCAATGGGTACCAATCAGTTCACAAATTCAACNAAGGATAAAACTGAAAATTAATTAATTTTTAGACGTCAATTTTGTGTAATTATCAAGCAATTTAGTTTAATTTAATACTTAAATTTCAATGGGTACCAATCAGTTCACAAATTCAGCATTCAGCTTTCAACTTTCAATTTTATCATACACCACCTAAGCCTAGAACCTGGAAGCAATCGGGTCCATGGGATGGTTTATGCTAATGGGTCAGATTTATTTTTAAGCACTCATGCCTAAATTCTTAATCGTGAAAACTGTATGTCTACCCCAAAAAAATTTGACTGTCCCTATGTGTCCACGATTGAAATTCCAACTAATGCATTTTTTTGTTGTCATTTTTTTTCCGAATAAATTANGCAATCGGGTCCATGGGATGGTTTATGCTAATGGGTCAGATTTATTTTTAAGCACTTATGCCTAAATTTTTAATCGTGAAAACTGTATGTCTACCCCAAAAAAAATTGACTGTCTCTACGTGTCCACGATTGAAATTCCAACTAATGCATTTTTTTGTTGTCATTTTTTTTCCGAATAAATCATCTCTTGTGGATTCAAGTGAAATTTATTATATATAAATAGATCGCTTATTATTAAAGGGTGAATGATCTTTATGGTAGAAAAAATAGTAAAACAAATCTGCATCTTCCTGCTATCCATTCTCTTTAGATATCTCTACCGGCTTAATTTTTCCTATGTAACAAGAAAATGTTGAATAATAAATTTGAGGTAATTAAAAGATTCTGTCTGGTACATAAAATTTTCATTTAAAATTATCAACAATATACAATCATACATTCATTTTGTAGAGATCGACTCTAATATAAACTGAGGTAATGATCGAAATATTACACATGGAAAAATCAAAATCACACCAATTAAACAAACAAAATTGAATTTCCAACTTTAGAATAGCCCCAAGCTATTTCTTTGCAGATTTTCAAAACACCACCGGGCTACCCCAAAAAACCTGATTTACTTATCCGCTTGACCAAGGTTATATGTCCCAAAAATACACACACAGCACTACAACAACATTGTCTTCCCCATTCCTGCAAGCCTGCAAACAGAAGAGAGAAGACAGAAGACAGATATCCATGGCTTTTTGACACTCTTTTGTTTGATTGTTTGATCAATTTTTTTTTCTTTATATATTTACAGCTTCAAAATTTACCATAACAAACCAGCCTTCTTACGTCAGAAATGGGATTTAACAGGTAAATTTTACACACTATAGGGTATTTTTTTTGGAACCCGATAGTGAATACACTATGGTGGTGGTGTTTCGCTTTCGTTTTGTTGTCATAGTGGCATTCGAAAACTCCCCATTTGGTTATGCTGTCACTTTGGCAGTGCCCACTACGTTACCTAATTAACATTGTAACTTTAATTCAACAACCCAATTCCTTTTTATCTTAGTCTTGAGAGCTTTCCACATTAAGCTTTTGAAGTTTATTGCATTTGTTGGTTTGTCATTTATCTCTACTTTGGTTGCTTTTAATCTTTGTAATTACGTACAGAAACTCATATTAATTGGTAATGTGTCTGTAATGCTGTTTCAGATTTGATCTTGGATGTCAAACCTTGAATATATTCAAACCCATTTTATGGACATGGGGATTGGGCAATGAGAGGTTGAATTAGGAGTTGAAGAATGCAGAGATAGCTGAATTGGATATCTCAATGAGTTTGTTCATTTGATTGGTGAACTTGGTTCACCTACTGAAGGGTGTAAAGAAAGGATTCTGAGCAAGCATGGTCGATGCAGAAGATTTTATGGAGGCCTCAGGATCCCGGTTTAGTGACTTGGAGTTAATTGGAACAGGGTCATTTGGAGATGTCTATAAAGGGTGCGTGTTAGAATTTGAGTCTCTTGTTACAATGCTAATATCTTCTGAGGACATGGTTTTTTCTTCAGAGTTAAGTAGCATATAGGTAACCAGGTTTCCTTGTTTAAGAGGATAGCTTTTTAAAATCTATGGGAATGAAGAGGAATGAGATGCATCATATCATATTTTCATCCGCTTAGAAATCACCTTTGCTCTATTATCTTTGTTTTTTGCCCTCTGTAATTCAGCACTTGGAGAAATGACTGTTATTTGGTTACTTCACTCATTAGGAAAGGTAAGGTTATTCTGTCACTCATCAAGAAAATATTAGGATAGGTAACATCAGTCTTCGACTTTGAAATCTATTTGAAACTTTTGCTAAATGTGAGGCATTTTATAGGTCCTTTTTCATGTTGATAGAGCTAAATTTTCATCCAAATGCTGGGGTCTTCAGTGCTGAGTATGCTTTGGACGTCAACTCAGAATTTGTTGATATTGCCTTTTTTGTTATTTTCTAGTTTTATCATTTGGGGCTATGTCATTNACTTTGAAATCTATTTGAAACTTTTGCTAAATGTGAGGCATTTTATAGGTCCTTTTCCATGTTGATAGAGCTAAATTTTCATCCAAATGCAGGGGTCTTCAGTGCTGAGAATGCTTTGGACGTCAACTCAGAATTTGTTGATATTGCCTTTTTTGTTATTTTCTAGTTTTATCTTTTGGGGCTATGTCAGTCATTTGATAGAAGTATTCCTATCATGCTTCTGAACAGTCTTCACTTATCGTAAGAAATCCACTAAACATAGCATTCAACCACAATGAGACAATACATTTAGACCCCTTCTATTGAGTTTGGCTTTCTTCATTTTTGTAGTTGTTGGGGTGGGGTTGAGGAGAATTCAACTTCCATTGTGATATTCATGTCAAATCTGGAGTGCATACTAATGTGTTTAAAGTGGAACCAAAAGCAGCTCCATTGTTTTCCCATGTGGTGCACATTGAGCTGTGGTATTTTGAAAGTTCCAAGTAGCATAGGTCTTTACTTCTGATTTTCCAAATATTTTAAGACTTGGGGGTAAACAGACACATGATTTAGAACAATTTTTAATATAAAAATCCTAGTTTTTGACAGAACCGTTCCTTCAATTGTAGAACCTAATACAGTGTACTCATTCACAAATTTGTTATTTCTGGTCTATATGTTTCTCTGTTGATATAGAAGTCAGTTTATCATCTTAACATGAAGATTTGTTAGCAAACAGAGCTAAGAACCCTCATATATGTTTTGATTTGCAGGTTTGATAAAGAGCTCAACAAAGTGGTTGCTATTAAAGTTATTGATTTGGAAGAATCGTGAGTCTATAACCTCGCATATATTTGTTCTTGATTATCTGTCCTCTGTTTTTTACAAATTTTAGCTGCTTGGTCTTAAGTAAACAGAGCTACTAGGTGTAGATGGATTGTTGATGTTTGGGTGACAACTTGTACAACATTAACTAAACATGCAGTTTAAAACTACTTGACAGCTTTGTTGATATTGTGTTATTTGTTTATTTTACTTATGATATTTTGACTAATTGCCACATGCACAATGTCTTCAGCAGAAAAGAACATTAGCTTTACCTACTTGTTATGCATATTTTTAAAGATTGTTGCAGGGCATTTCAAACTTCGTACAGCCCCCAAGAACCCCCTCCTGCCTCCAAAAAAACCGCATGGGGGCCCTTTGTTCTCCTGTACTCTTTGAATTGCTGGTTGGTTTTTCATTTATTTTTAATGTTTGATAGATATTTCTTTTTGCTTAATCAATCATTTCTTTTCTCTTGGAAGTTATGCTATTTTTTCTTTCCTATAATTGCATTCAAGTCCTAAATGTGCAAGAACTGCATGCGAGATTGAGATGGAAGGCTGATTTTATCTAAAAACTAAGCAAATGCTGAACTGAGATTATTCTTAAATTGACTCCCTAATCAGAAACCTTAAAAATTACATAAGCGTGGTAAATAAATTTGTACCTGAAAGCTAGATTTTAAGCCATCCCAAAAGTGGCTCTAGTTTCAAACTAAGATATAATCATATTCTGTCAGTGCTTTGATTGTTTATCCATTTTCTCCCATGGCCATGAGAGTGCATGATGGTGTTTCTAGCTGAAGCAGGAGCTTTGAGAGTTTTTGTTTTGTGTGTCACCCAACATGTCTTTAATTTATTTTCTTTGTCAAATAGAGATTATGCTTGTAGATTTAGAAAAGATTGCTACTTGTATGAGTTGATAGCACTTAATACATTGAGATGGACATGGTTAAGTTTCTAGAAAATGGCACCAATTTGCAGGTTCTTGGTGAGGTGCTTCTGATTGTGGGACATTGTGATAAAGAGTGAAAATAGTGTTCTGTTCAAGAAGTCTTGTTGACAGATGATATGCTTCTCTGTTCTTTTAGTAGTGGTTGGGGATGAAATATGGTCTAACCTGGGTAACAGAGATTTAGTTGTTCAGGAAAACTGATCTATGCATTGCAATTGATGCAAATAACGCAGCAGACAGAAAGGGCGCTGAAGCCTTTCCAAAAGTGATTGCATATGAAAACCCATTCTTTTGCCTAATTGGATATAGATCTAGGATTTTCTATCTCTGGATATGAAACCGTAAATAAAAAGGAAATTGTCTTGAACTAATCATTCTGTGAATGTACGTTATAGGCTGTTAAAGTGGAAATATAACTGGATTTTTATTCAGTGGAATTTTTAGAACTTAAGTAGAGCATTCCTTGTAATCAGCCACTAACATCATCAATCAGTTTCTGTAGTAAAATTTCAGTTTTCTGTGTGCTGTTTTTTCCATCACCTTTTTTCCTGAATGATGGTGAAAACTGGTCCAATTGCACTGCATTACCACNGTGGAAATATAACTGGATTTTTATTCAGTGGAATTTTTAGAACTTAAGTAGAGCATACCTTGTAATCAGCCACTAACATCATCAATCAGTTTCTGTAGTAAAATTTCAGTTTTCTGTGTGCTGTTTTTTCCATCACTTTTTTTCCTGAATGATGGTGAAAACTGGTCCAATTGCACTGCATTATCATATGGTGCTGGCCTTCATTTGTGTCATTAGCTTAAGTATCATGGAGGTCTAAGATGATATCAACCGCCTCCCCATGGAGAAATACTGATTTTAATTTTGTGTGCAGTTAATTCAGTGGATTGAAATTGCCGTAGGGTGTCTATAGGCCCAATAGTTGGCCCGCCCGAGTCCGNTCCAATTGCACTGCATTATCATATGGTGCTGGCCTTCATTTGTGTCATTAGCTTAAGTATCATGGAGGTCTAAGATGATATCAACCGCCTCCCCATGGAGAAATACTGATTTTAATTTTGTGTGCGGTTAATTCAGTGGATTGAAATTGCCGTAGGGTGTCTATAGGCCCAATAGTTGGCCCGCCCGAGTCCGAGCCCGAATCCAAATATCCTTAAAAACAGGGCTTAGGTTTTCCCTTGAACCCATTATCCGGCCTGCCTGAGTCTGAGCCCGAACTCAAATATCCTTAAAAACAGGGCTTGAGTTTGCCCTTAAACCCATTATCTGGCCCGAAGTCCGGCCCAAGAGCCCTCTTACCCTTTCTTTGAGAAAAAATTATATTTTTAGACCATTAAATTTGAAACTTTGAAATGATTTTCCCAATGTCGGAATTTTAAGTTTTAAAAATTTAGATACTATAAATAATGTATTATTTTCTTTTCCATGTATTAAACATACAAGTTTTAAAGGGTAAAGTAATGTAAATGATAGATAAGTGAGGAGGTGTCAACCTAATTGTGATGTATTCATTCTATTGGATGTAGTTTATCCCTTAATCAAAAATAAAATTATTCATTCTTTTATTTTTATTCGTTTTGATTCAAAAATATAATTTACACAAATATTAAGTTATGAAAATATTCATTATTTTTAAATGAAATTGTATATAAAAAAGCCTGCGAGTAGGCCCCTTCAATAGGCTCACGGGTTGAGTTACAGCTAGTCTACTCCTACCCGAAGTGTGACTCGGCTCACCTGATAACTCACTTGAGTAAGAGTTTAGACCTACACTACCTAGCCCAGCCTGAAAAAATTTTGCGGGTGGACACCCCTAGAAATTGGTATGCGGATAAGTGGTTTTTAAAATTCAGTATATAAGTCTTTCAGTTAGATGGAATTAAAAGTTTCTATTTAGTTGGGTCGTTTTGGATCTGTTTTACCAAAAGTGGATGTAGACACATTATTTTTATTGGCTGTATTCCAATAATGACTGCCTAATGATGAGATGGTGGTGATAGTGATGAAGAAATTGCCTAACAATGATTGTGATGGTAACAATACTGAAGGAGAAGTGCGGTGTTGATGGTGGTGGTATTAGTTATGNGTATTAAACATACAAGTTTTAAAGGGTAAAGTAATGTAAATGATAGATAAGTGAGTAGGTGTCAACCTAATTGCGATGTATTCATTCTATTGGATGTAGTTTATCCCTTAATCAAAAATAAAATTATTCATTCTTTTATTTTTATTCATTTTGATTCAAAAATATAATTTACACGAATATTAAGTTACGAAAATATTATTTTTAAATGAAATTGTATATAAAAAAGCCTGCGAGTAGGCCCCCTCAATAGGCTCACGGGTTGAGTTATAGCTAGTCTACTCCTACCCGAAGTGTGACTCGGCTCACCTGCTAACTCACTTGAGTAAGAGTTTAGACCTACACTACCTAGCCCGGNCTCGGCTCACCTGCTAACTCACTTGAGTAAGAGTTTAGACCTACACTACCTAGCCCGGCCTGAAAAAATTTTGCGGGTGGACACCCCTAGAAATTGGTATGCGGATAAGTGGTTTTTAAAATTCAGTATATAAGTCTTTCAGTTAGATGGAATTAAAAGTTTCTATTTAGTTGGGTCGTTTTGGATCTGTTTTACCAAAAGTGGATGTAGACACATTATTTTTATTAGCTGTATTCCAATAATGACTGCCTAATGATGAGATGGTGGTGATAGTGATGAAGAAATTGCCTAACAATGATTGAGATGGTAACAATACTGAAGGAGAAGTGCGGTGTTGATGGTGGTGGTATTAGTTATGAATGAAAGTGTCTTATATAGCACTGAGTGGTAGTGTATGTGATGACAGTGGCTGTGGATGGGTATCATGAAAGACAGGTGGAGTGTTGAGAAATTGAGAGTGACAATATGATAGTGGTGGGTGATGGCAAAAACGAAGGTGAGTTGGGGTAGTGGCACTGTGCCTGTCGTGGGTGATAACCCTCAATTGGTGAAACCCAAGTTTTGGATTTGAGATGGGTTTCAAATTCAACAGGAGGATACACTGCATATGCAAGATTTCATTTGAAGAGCCCAAATGAAAACTTACCAGAAAATCCACTCTCAAACTTTGAGCGAAATGCAGTCTAAGGAATTTGGGAAAACTGAGGTTAGGAAAATCTCTCTTATCTACATTTTTCCACCCTGGAGTTCATTGTTCAGCCTATCCTAGCTAGTTTGCAAGTCTTACAATTCTAGCAGTATCTTTTCCTGTTAACTTCTATTCTGAGGCGCACCAAATTCTCTTGTTACTGAATGGTTGGTTTGCTTCTTCGTGTTGAGTTTATGCTAAACTTCACTTTTGGAATGCATCTTCTACAGAGAGGATGAAATTGAGGACATTCAGAAGGTACACCCCCAGTTATTGATGGACTTGTAGATTGAATTTGTACCATGTAAATGATTCATACTCTTACTAAACCATTGGTTTATGTTCAGGAAATTGCAATTCTGTCACAATGTCGATCTCCATATATTACAGAATACTATGGGTCCTATCTGCACCAAACTAAATTGTGGATAATAATGGAATTCATGGCTGGTGGCTCTGTTGCTGATCTAGTAGGTTACTTTTAATGACTTCTAAATGCTTATATTAAGAATCTTCCAGTTTTTGCATTTCAAGGATCCTAGGAAACAAATATTGTTTTTTAGTCTTATTCATTTGCGTAACTTACAAGGTTTGCATCCCAATGTTCTTTTTTTTTTTTTTTTTTTTTTTGCATTTCTTTGGGGAGAAAGTACCTTTTTCTGGCTTTGCAATGGTGTGCCCGTGGTAATCGTTTAATGCTTGGTTGTTATAGGTTGGAATAAGAAAAAAATGAGGAATTTAACCTTTTCTTTGAATTTTTTTTTTTGGGGGAGGGAGGGATGTAAATCTTCCATCAGCAGTGCTTTATAAAAGAACTCAGTTACTTTATGATGCATGAAGTTTTAAAAGCTATTCACCTTGCACTGCAGTGATAAATTTGTCGTGGTGGACCAGCTCATACTACATTTATCTCTAATCATAAATTATAAGGACACCCAATGTAAGAAATTTTGCATTGATACTTATACCAATTTTGCTTTGCAGATTGGACCAAATCAGCCTATGGATGAAATGTCTATAGCTTGCATTTTACGTGACTTGCTCCATGCAATTGAATATCTCCACACTGAAGGGAAGATTCATAGGGACATTAAAGGTTTATTTTCCTAGCCTTAAATACTTATTTGGATAGCAAAAACACAGTTGGAAGGGATCATTGCTTCATTAATCATACTAGAAATATTTGTGAGTCAAAGGGATGTCCAAACTGAGTGCAGAGCCCCGTATTCATAGCCAAATAAGAGCACATATGACCTGAACACCCCTCTGCTCTAGGTAAGACATAAAAGTCACAGTGAGGGCAAAAAGGGAAAAACTAAAAATTTAATAAACTAGGCTATAACTCCAACACTCTCCCTCACGCTAGGTGCAAAAATATCAATTAAGCCAAACTTGACAATAGAGTCTCGGAGAATGGATAAAGTGACAGGTTTGGTGAAAACATCTGCAACCTGATCACTGGTCCCCATAAACGTTGGAGTGACAATACCACAGTTGACCTTCTTTCGAAAAAAGTGAACATTGATCTCTATATGCTTCATCCTCTCATATAGTACGGAGTCAGAAGCAAGTTAAATAGCATATCGGTTATCACAATATAATGTGGATGGAAAAGTCACTGAAAATTCTAACTCGCCAAGAACTGATCGTAGTCAAATAACCTCACACGTGCCAAGTGCCAGTACCCGATATTCTATCTCTGCTGATGAGTGGGAGATAACTGCTTGCTTCTTGCTCTTCCAAGAGATAAGATGAGTCCTCCGAAAAGTACAGAAGCCTGTAATAGATCGACCATCACATGCTCTCCTATAACCTGAATCTGAATAATAAGCTAGAGAACCGATCTGAGACCTTGAGGTACCAAAGTATATGATAAACTGCATCTAGATAAGACTGACACGGCTTGTGCATAAATTGACTGACTTGGTTGATAACAAATGAAATGTTTGGCGTAATGTTAGCTAGGTAGATAAGTCTACTTACCAACCTTTGATAGACAGTCGGATCTCTCAACTCTTCACTTTTAGCAGTAAGCTTCAGGTTTGGAATCATAGGTGACAATGCTAGTTTGTACTCCAACATCCCAGTGTCTGAGAAAAGATCTAGAACATACTTTCTCTGAGAAAGAACAATACTCTTGCTGCTACGGGCAACCTCAATCCCAATAAAGTATCTCAGAGATCTAAAGTCCTTCACATCGAAGGCCTTTTCAAGGTCAACCTTGACCTGTGCAGTCCCAGAAATGTCACCCATAGTAATAATAATATCATCCACATATACTAAACGAATGACACACTACTTAGAAGTATTTTATCGAATGAAACATGTATGATTAGAATGATATTTGAAGAATCTTGAACCAAGGATCAAAATTTCGTTTTGGTACATTGTTTCGGTCACCTAGGAGACGGAAACGTTTCAACTTGTTTCGAAAATAAAATAAAAAAAATAAAAAATTTAAGAACTATTTTTTTAAAATATTGGTCGAAATATATCAAAATATCTTGAATATCTTAAAACATTCCAAAATAGTTGTGCAAATACATTGAAATATAACAAAACATTTTGAAACATTATGAAACACCTCGAAGTATTAGAATTTCGATTCCCTCACTGATTCGTTTTAGTTTCCTTGAAAACGGAAAAGTTTCGGATGTTTTGACTGTTTCGAAACGATATTTTGATCCTTGCCTTGAACGTATAACTACACCACTAAACTGAGAGAACTAGACTTGTGGGACTGTTTTAGTCCATAAAGAGACTTACGCAATCGACATACTTTCCTAGCATATTCCCCCTTACCACAAAAGTTTGGTGGTGCATCCATATAAATAGTCTCGTCTAGATCACCGTGAAGATACTCATTCTTCACATCCAACTGATGAAAAGACTAAGAATACGAGACATCCAGAGAAATAATCAATCGAACAGTAGTCAGTTTTGCCACGGGGGCAAATTTAGCTTCAAAATTACGACCTGGAACCTAAGTAAAACCCTTCGCCATAAGCCTAGCCTTGTGACGATCAATAGTACCATTTGCAAACAATTTCAGGGTGTAAACTCAACGACAGCCAGCAGGTTTCAACCCTGAAGGTAAAGAAATAAGATCATATGTATGATTATGTTAAAGAGCGTCCATCTCTGTCTCCATAGTAAGAATCGACCGAGGCTCCCACATAATCTCTGAGACAGAGCGAGGAATTGGTATATCTAATAAGACCATACTATAACCTTGAAATGTAGGAGACAAATTACCATAAGAAACATAACCAGAGACTAGATACAAAGATTTGGCGGCCTAACCATAATGAACAACTAGACGGAGATCACGCCATTGATAACAACACCCTACAACATTATCCTCCACTAAAAAAGTCTCATCAGGTAAAGTAATTAGCTTACCACCTGCAGTCTCATTAGTGCTAACAACAAGCATATCAATACTAACAACATGCTCAACAATATGCTCCATGAACTAAGAAATATTAGCTATATCGTCTGAGGTAGAGGGGATATTAGAAGGGGGATGAGAGCGAGGGCTACGAATATAAACCTGCAAAGGAGAAAAGACTGATAACTCTGTAGTGGCAGTGACGAGTGGTTCTGGCTCTTCTGGTAAGAAAAAATCAAAAGGAGTATCATCAACTCGAGGGATAGACATAGAATTGAAAGAAAAATAAAGAATATGCTCAAGAAATGTAACATCTAGACTGTGATACATATGACACCTAATAGGATCATAACACCGATATCCCTTAGACTGATGACAGTAGCCTAAAAAGACACAACAAATCACTTTATCATCAAACTTATAGCGAGTAGGAGACTGATCCTGAACAAAATATGTACAGCCAAAAATAAGAGGAGGGACCGAAAAAAGTGTCCACTCAGGGAATAAGACCTGTAAGGAAGGCTTATGTTGAAGAACACGACTCGGTGTACGATTGTACAGAAAGGTAATAGTTAAAACAGCAAAATGCCAATAAGATTTGGGCACTCTCATACCTCTAAGCATGCAATGTACTATCCCTATCAAACTCTTATTTTTCCTTTTAGTAACTTCATTTTGTTCAAGAGTATATGGGTAGATGAGCTGATGAAGGATTCTCTGAGAAGAAAAGTGAGACACTAAGGCATCAGCACATTCTTTGGTATTATCTGAACAAAGAGTACGAATAATGACATCGAATTGTCTTAATCATCCGTAGAAATTGAGTGATGACAAGGAATACATCAGACTTCATATGCAAAAAATAGAACCAAGTACAGTAGGTATGGTTATCTATAAATGTCATATAGTATCAGGCACCTGACAAAACAGTAACTGGGGAAGATCTCCAAATATTAGAATGTAATAGGTCAAATAGCTTAGGTGACTGGTGCATGCAAGGAATATAACTGGTCTTAATATGTTTAAATAGGGAACATATAATACAGTCAAGTTTACCACCAACACAAGTATTACTCAAAGTAAGAAACAATATACATAAATATTTAAAATTTATATGCCTAAAATGAACATACCACAACTGAACAGTTTGTGACGAAAAATCATAACGATAAGTATTAGGTAAAATACTAGCATGCAAATTAGGAACAGATAAAAATAAAGTAGTTGCAAATGATGTAGGTGTAGGAACTGGAGGTGGATCGCCTAGATAATATAGTCCATCTCTCATGTCTCCTAATAATAATCCTCTTGGTACTCAGGTCCGGCAAATAATACGAATTAGATAATAACACAACCGTATAATAAAAATCTCTGGCTAATCGATGTATAGATAATAGATTCATGACCAACTTTAGCGTGTAAAAAATCGAACGTAATATAAAGTCATTTGGAAGGTGAACTGTACCCCTACTAATAATAGGAACATGTGTCCCATCTGCTAACTAAACCTGTGTATGTAACTGCTCATCAAAAGTGGTCAAGTGATGGGCCTCACCTATCATGTGACCATTCGCACCTGAGTCTATCATCCAAAGTGGAGAAGGACTAGTGCAAGCATGAAAGGCACGATATATGCTTGTAGTAGTCGCAGTAGCAATAGTCGAACCTTGAGAAGTTGGGCCAGACGTAAGTACATCCGATCTAGAAATGATATCATCCATATCACTCTGCCAAGGACGAGCAGTAGTAGGGGCAGTGACAGTAAGTGGTGATCCCTCAGTAATAGCAGTAGTGCGGCCTCGAGGAGGCAGCTTAAACTCCGAATAGAGCTTCCAACAAGTAGCCCTGAGATATCCTAGTCGGCCACAATAATCACACTAACGAGAATCGCCTTGTCTGTGTTAATCTGGGACGCCTTGTCGGCATTGGTCCGAACACTGTCCACCCCTAGTTGGGGGTCCTAGGCGAGACCCTACAGCAACTACAAGGGCCATCTGGTCATCCTGAGGAGTCAAGGCCATAATTGAAAATGATGTANTACATCCGATCTAGAAATGATATCATCCATATCACTCTGCCAAGGACGAGCAGTAGCAGGGGCAGTGACAGTAAGTGGTGATCCCTCAGTAATAGCAGTAGTGCGGCCTCGAGGAGGCAGCTTAAGCTCCGGATAGAGCTTCCAACAAGTAGCCCTGAGATATCCTAGTCGGCCACAATAATCACACTAAGGAGAATCGCCCTGTCTGTGTTAATCTGGGACGCCCTGTCGGCATTGGTCCGAACACTGTCCACCCCTGGTTGGGGGTCCTAGGCGAGACCCTACAGCAACTACAAGGGCCATCTGGTCATCCTGAGGAGTCAAGGCCACAATTGAAAATGATGCANGGGGGTCCTAGGCGAGACCCTACAGCAACTACAAGGGCCATCTGGTCATCCTGAGGAGTCAAGGCCATAATTGAAAATGATGCAATACGGACGCGGAACTTATACTACTCAATCATCGCATACACCTCATAAAGAGACGGAAGTCTCAACATCAACAAGATCTGGGAACGAGGTCCCTCAAACTCATCACGAAGCTCCATAAGAAAGTTGTTAATCCTATCCTCCTACTCTCAAGTATGCATGAATGTCACTCCCTCGGCCTTTATACTCGGAATAGCAACAAGTGGACGTAGAGTCTTATACTCAAGCCAGTGCTAAGTCAAATAGTCATAATAATCTTGAATCGTCATATCTCACTGTCGAGCATATAAGAGCTCCTGAGAAAGCTCATAAACACAAACTCTACTTCCTGACTGGGAATACATCTCTGATAATGCGTTCTANCTTATACTCAAGCCAGTGCTAAGTCAAATAGTCATAATAATCTTGAATCGTCATATCTCACTGTCGAGCATATAAGAGCTCCTGAGAAAGCTTATAAACACAAACTCTACTTCCTGACTGGGAATACATCTCTGATAATGCGTTCCATAGCTTCAAAACAGAGTTATGAAACTGATGAATTCTGTAAACAAATAGCTCCATCGAGCCAAATAACCATTCAAGAATAGCGTAGCTTTCAAAGAACCATATAGAATATCCAGAGTCGTTATCAGCTGGCTTTTGGTGCGATCCCATCAATCAACCAAGCTTCCCAATANATTCTGTAAACAAATAGCTCCATCGAGCCAAATAACCATTCAAGAATAGCGTAGCTTTCAAAGAACCATATAGAATATCCAGGGTCGTTATCAGCTGGCTTTTGGTGCGATCCCATCAATCAACCAAGCTTCCCAACATGCCTTAAGAAAAGCTGAAATGAGCGTGATCACTCAGCAAAGTTACGGCCATTCAACAACTATACCATAACATTCTGAGAGATCATACCCCACATTTTTAGTAATGCAACTGTGTCAGTAGGTATTGTATAACATAAAAGTGGAAAAGGTAATTCCTGCAGAAGTGGGCTGTACATTCCAAGTGGAAGTATTAACAGTAAGGGTCTCAAGTCCCTCAGTAGTGTTCATAACAACAACAATACTTTGGCAACCATGACAGAAAATACTCTAAGATAAATAGAGAGACAAAACAAGAGAGAATAATATACCTCTAGTCGAACAGTAACTACTATAACTTCAATAATGTAAACCCANTTAGTAATGCAACTGTGTCAGTAGGTATTGTATAACATAAAAGTGGAAAAGGTAATCCCTGCAGAAGTGGGCTGTACATTCCAAGTGGAAGTATTAACAGTAGGGGTCTCAAGTCCCTCAGTAGTGTTCATAACAACAACAATACTTTGGCAACCATGACAGAAAATACTCTAAGATAAATAGAGGGACAAAACAAGAAAGAATAATATACCTCTAGTCGAACAGTAGTTACTATAACTTTAATAATGTAAACCTAAGCGTAGGTTATGCGAAGTAATATATTCTCGGGAGTTTGAGGTCAAATCCTCAGGGAATTGCAAAAATAAGAGAATTAGAGAACAAGTCTAATAAAAGAAAATTTGTTTAAAAAGTCTCGTAAAGAGAAATTCCACTTGTCAAAACTAGAATGAACTGATTAAAATAATAATTAAAATACTAAAGTATCATGAATACTCTTGCAAATCCATACGACATCTACTAAAAATCCAATTTTCAAACTCAATTGAGAATGAAGCTGATAAGTGATTCCAATCAGAATATCCAACAATAAGAACATGAAAGCACCAATTTTAATAACCTAGATTCTATCCAAATAAGCTTGAAAATTCATCTTCGGATTGCAAGCATTTGTCGGGCTTGGAGTCTACGACAAATCAAACTTTCTTAACAAATCAATTCTAGACCTACCCACATAGTCATCTGTTCATATTATCTTGTGAAAATTATGTCAATTAACTCTAGTGTAGAATAATTAGTTATTTGATTCGCAGGAAAATTCAAGCAATCCGATGTGCATGACATAACGGATCAAGAACCTTTACAAAGAAAAAGTTAAATTAACAGAATGACACAAGTAGTTAAACCCTTGGATTGATAATAGTACCGTGTTGCATTAAAAGTTTTTCCCCTAGCTTTAGTTGGACTCTTTAGCCAGACATAGTTACAAATACCATAAAGAATAGAAAAATAATCAACAACAACTAAACCTAATAATTATTCTAAAAATAATCCCAACTAGGTTACAACGCCAAGCTCAGCGTTCTGGGAAAGAAAGAACACGTGTCTGAACGCCAAACAGGTATCGTCCGGATGCAATAGACAATACTCTCCCCGACCCTCAATCTCCACACGCCCATTTTGGACATTCCGTCCAGACCTGCATGCAGACTCCGTTCGGACGTGATAAACAGTATCTTCCTCCTCTACTTATTTCCGGCTCTTACCCCTTTAAAATTTAAAATTTAAAATTCATGACCATTCCTCCAATTTATCTTATTTACCTACAAAATGGGAACAAACATTCCATAAGTAGAATCATACCGAAACCCTGGTAAATTAATACATCTAACACTCTATCCCATATAATTAACTCCTATCAATCACCAAACTAATACATTATCTGATGCTAATCACACCCCCCAACTTAGTGCTTGCTAATCCCTGGTAAGGTAAAATAGAATGAAATAAATCCCTCTGCACTTTCGTAGGACTCACGACTATATTTAGCACATGTAACAAGCCTTTAAACTTTTAGGTTCCCCCTAGTGGGCGAGTATACCCACAAATATCACCTTGTAATCAAATATCTGAATAATAATTTTATAACACAATATAAAAATTTTAAGCTGTAAGCCTTTTTATAAGTACATGCAAAACAAAATATAGAACTCTATGCTATATAAATGTATGCACTTATTATATTTCCATAGAAACTCGTGTAGTTTGAAATAACTATACCAAGTCAATAGTCTATCCGGTAATCACCTCTTCAACTATTGACTATTCGTCTCAATGTCAAATCTCATTAGATAATTCACTCATAAAAGATTCTCTCAGATTATAGTGACTATTCTCTCAAATATCACATATGAGAAGAAGATATTTTAATCTGTTAAGAGTATTAGGCTAATATGTGTAAATTGTTAATAGTGTTAGGGTATTATGTGTAATTCTTATTATTGTGAGTTAACTATAAATACAAGTGATGTATGAGAGCTAGGTTAAGTTTTTAACCTCTCTGTTTCTCTCTAATATTGTGTTAATCCTCTAAATTTAACATGGTATCAGAGTAAGTTTAATCCTAAATATATATTTTTTGAATAAATTAACCATACCGGTGGTGGTGGTACAGTTGTTGCTGTTGCTGTTGCTGTGGCTGTGTACCGCTAAATCGTCGAACTACAGTGGTGGTGGTGATATAGTTGTGGTAGTTGATTCGTTGATGGTATTGTCGATAGTGGTGGTGGTGTTGTACTATTAACCATCGTTTGTCATCGTTGTTAGTGGTGTGGTACTGTTGGTCATCGTCTACCTTCGTTTGGTGTTCGCCCTGGTGGTGTAGCGGTGGTGGTATAGTGTGATTTCTCCGTTGTGGTGTCCACTTTGGTGGTCTGTCATTCAGTGTGGTGGTCGAGGTGCAGTCGAAGTGGTGGTGTGGTGGCGTGATCGATCGTCGTCGTGGTGTGGTTGTGGTGGTCGTGGTGCTGTCTGGCGCCGTCGAAGACCAGAGGGTTCCAAGGGAACTCTATTCAGCGAAGAAAAAGGAGCCAGGGTCGGGTTTGGATCAGATCCAAACTAAGACCAAGTCTTAAAGTGGTCTTGCCCAAGACTAGGTTTTAAAGTGGTCCAGCGAGTTCAGAGGTCCGATTCAGACTCAGTTTTCCTCCGTCTGGTCCAGTTCAGACCCAATTCGCACCGGTTTAGTAGTGTAACATCTATTTCCTGTCCGGTTTAGACTTTCAGTAGGTTTTTTTGGACTGGTTCAGTAAGTTTTTAGATTGGTTCAGTAAGTTTTAGACCGGTTTAGGCCTGGTTTAATCTGTTTTAGACCGGTTCAGACTGGTTCAGTGATCCCGTGGACTCCTTTGGTTCGGTTCAGCAATGCAATTGGTGATTCTTGTTCTGTTCAGTGATCTAGTGCTTTTCGTTTTGCTATTTGTTGCGCTGTTATGGAACCCAAACAAGACACTGGATTGGTTACTATTACTCGAGGGGAGTATGACCAGTTTCTATCCCAGCAACAGGCTGTTCCCTCTCCCTCCATGGCTACTTTTGTCCTGTCAGGTATTCCTTCTACTTGTTTATTGTCCTCCAATCATAGTTCCTGGATCATAGACTCTGGTGCTTCTGATCACATGACTGGTGCGTCTGGTATTTTTTCTACTTATCAGTCTGCTACCTCCACACGTAGTGTTACTCTTGCTAATGGCACTTGTTCGAAAGTTTTAGGTTNTATTGTGAGTTAACTATAAATACAAGTGATGTATGAGAGTTAGGTTAAGTTTTTAGCCTCTCTGTTTCTCTCTAATATTGTGTTAATCCTCTAAATTTAACATGGTATCAGAGCAAGTTTAATCCTAAATATATATTTTTTGAATAAATTAACCATACCGGTGGTGGTGGTACAGTTGTTGCTGTGGTTGTGTACCGCTAAATCGCCGAACTACAGTGGTGGTGGTGATATAGTTGTGGTACTTGATTCGTTGATGGTATTGTCGATTGTGGTGGTGGTGTTGTACTGTTGACCATCGTTTGTCGTCGTTGTTAGTGGTGTGGTACTGTTGGTCATCGTCTACCTTCGTTTGGTGTTCGCCCTGGTGGTGTAGCGGTGGTGTAGTGTGATTTCTCCGTTGTGGTGTCCACTTTGGTGGTCTTTCATTCGGTGTGGTGGTCGAGGTGCAGTCGAAGTGGTGGTGTGGTGGCGTGATCGATCGTCGTGGTGGTGTGGTTGTGGTGGTCGTGGTGCTGTCTGGCGCCGTCGAAGACCAGAGGGTTCCAAGGGAACTCTATTCAGCGAAGAAGAAGGAGCCAGGGTCGGGTTTGGATCAGATCCAAACTAAGACCAAGTCTTAAAGTGGTCCAGCCCAAGACTAGGTTTTAAAGTGGTCCAGCGAGTTCACAGGTCCGATTCAGACTCGGTTTTCCTCCATCTGGTCCAGTTCAGACCCGATTCGCACCGGTTTAGTAGTGTAACATCTATTTCCTGTCCGGTTTAGACTTTCAGTAGGTTTTTTTGGACTGGTTCAGGCCAGTTCAGTAAGTTTTTAGACTGGTTCAGTAAGTTTTAGACCGGTTTAGGCCCGGTTCAATCTGTTTTAGACCGGTTCAGACTGGTTCAGTGATCCCGTGGACTCCTTTGGTTCGGTTCAGCAGTGCAATTGGTGATTCTTGTTCTGTTCAGTGATCTAGTGCTTTTCTTTTTGCTATTTGTTGCGCTGTTATGGAACCCAAACAAGACACTGGATTGGTTACTATTACTCGAGAGGAGTATGACCAGTTCCTATCCCAGCAACAGGCTGTTCCCTCTCCCTCCATGGCTACTTTTGTCCTGTTAGGTATTGCTTCTACTTGTTTATTGTCCTCCAATCATAGTTCCTGGATCATAGACTCGGGTGCGTCTGGTATTTTTTCTACTTATCAGTCTGTTACCTCCACACGTAGTGTTACTCTTGCTAATGGCACTTGTTCGAAAGTTTTAGGTTTGGGGACTACTAACTTGAGTCTTGATATGTCCCTATCTTCCGTATTATTTGTTCTTCAGTTTCCTTTTAGTTTACTTTCCATTAGTAAGATTACCCGTTCTATAAAACTGTTCTGTAATCTTTTATCCTTCTTATTGTGTTTTTCAGGATCTTAAGACGAAGNTTCAGTTTCCTTTTAGTTTACTTTCCATTAGTAAGATTACCCGTTCTATAAAACTGTTCTGTAATCTTTTATCCTTCTTATTGTGTTTTTCAGGATCTTAAGACGAAGAGGAAGATTGGTACGGGGCATGAAGTTGGTGGCCTATATTACTTTGATTTTGATTCACCTACTCGAGCTTTACAGACCTCGTTGTCTCATTTTCAGTGGCATTGTCGTCTTGGACATTCTTCTCTCCAGAATTTGAAGCGTCGGGTTCCCAGTTTTAGTTCTGTGCTGTCTTTGTCTTGTGAAGCTTGTCAACTGAGTAAGCATCACTGTGTGTCATTTCAGTCTCGAGTCAATAATCATGTGTCTAGTCCATTTGAGTTGGTACATTCTGATGTATGAGATCAAATAAAGAATATTTCATCTAATAAATATCCTTATTTTGTGTCATTTGTAGATGACTATTCTCGTATAACTTGGTTGTTTCTGATGAAAGCTCGGTCTGAAATATTTTCTATATTTAAGACATTTCGTAAGGAAAAAAAAACTCAGTATAGGTGTCGTATCCGTATTTTACATTCTGATAATGCTCGAGAATATAAATTTGATCCTTTTTCAGTTTATCTTAGTAAAACTGACATTATTCATCAGACTTCTTATGCTTACACCTCTCCACAAAATGGTGTTACTGAATGCAAGAACCGTCATTTGTTAGAAGTCACCCATGTCCTATTATTCCAGATGAATATTTTTCGATATTTTTGGAGTGATATTCTTCTTACTGCTTGCCATCTTATTAATCGTATGCCATCCTCTGTGTTAAATGGGCAAAGTTCATATTCTGTCATTTTTCTTGGTAAGCCCTTATATTCGTTGACTCCTAAGATTTTTGGATGTGTCTGTTATGTTCACAATTTGGGTAATGGGTTTGACAAACTTGACCCTCGAGCTACCAAATGTGTATTTCTTGGTTACTCTCGCATGCAGAAGGGGTATCGTTATTACAGTCCTTCTCTGCACCAATACTTTACTAGTGTCGATGTCATGTTTGAAGAATCTGTTCCATACTTTCCAGCACCTTCTCAACGTTTGGATCTAGACTTTGGATCTTCTCCTGTACTACCATCTCTTTCCTTACCTTCAGACATTCCACTGCCCATTGTGTTACCATCTACTTTACCTCTCCATGTCTACTCTCGCCGTCCTCGCCCATCGACTGAGGTGCCCGTACCATCTTTCTTGCTGCCTTCTGATCCTGGTACATCAGGTAATTTAGACTTTTTACCTATTGCACTTCGCAAAGATACTCATTCGTGTGTTACTAATCATCCCATTTTTCATTTTATTTCATATGATGCCTTGTCTCCTGTCTTTTCTTGTTTTACTTTTCAATTATCTGTTATATCTATTCCTAAGCATTTACAGAATGCCTTATCTGATCCAGGTTGGAGGAAAGCTGTGGAGGAGGAGATGAATGCTTTACATCATAATGGGACTTAGGATCTCGTGGCTTTACCCCCGGTAAATGAACTGTTGGCTTTCGTTGGGTGTATACTGTTAAATTTCATCCAGATGGTTCTGTGGAGCGTCTCAAAGCCAGACTTGTTGCAAAGGGTTTTACTCAAATTTATGGTGTTGATTATGAGGAGACTTTTTCTCCTGTTGCCAAAATTTCCACTGTTCGTATCTTGATCCTTTGACTACTAATCTTGATTGACCCTTGTTTTAGTTAGACATCAAGAATGCCTTCCTACATGGTGACTTGGTTGAAGAGGTATACATGGAGCAACCACTTGAGTTTACTACTCAAGGGGAGTGGTAAAAGTGTATGTCGGTTAAAAAAATCTTTGAATGGTTTGAAGCAGTCACCTAGGGCATCGTTTGATAAGTTTTCAAATGTAGTTTTAGAGTTTGGTCTTCTTCNAAGGGGAGTATGGTGAAAGTGTATATCGGTTAAAAAAAATTTTGAATGGTTTGAAGCAGTCACCTAGGGCATGGTTTGGTAAGTTTTCAAATGTAGTTTTAGAGTTTGGTCTTCTTCGATGTCAGACAGATCATTCTGTGTTTCATAGACAAACAGATGTTGGATATGTCTTATTGGTGGTCTATGTAGATGATATTATGATTACTGAGAATGATTCTGAGGGGATTGTCAAGTTAAAAACGTTCTTACAGGATCGACTTCATACTAAGGATTTGGGAAAACTCAGGTATTTCTTGGGTATTGAGGTGGCTCGATTTAAACAGGGTATTTATTTATCCCAGAGAAAATATGTACTTGACATGTTTGAGGAAGCAGGTTTGCTAGGAGGTAGACCGATTGATGTTCCTATTGATCCGAATCAGAAATTATTGATGGATGATGGTGCATTGTTTGAGAATCTGGGTCGGTATCTCAGATTGGTTGGAAAGCTTAATTATCTTACTATTACTCGACTGAATATTTTCTATGCAATCAGTATAGTAAGTCAGTTCATGGGGTGTCCTAGAGTACCACATTGGAAGGCAGTTACTCGTATTCTGCGATATCTCAAATGAGCTCCTGGACTTAGACTGTTATATCGAGCTAATGGACATCTTAGAGTGGAAGGTTTCTCAGATGCTGATTGGGCTAGCTCTCCTTCTGATCGGAGATCAACTACTGGTTATTGTACTTTCTTAGGAGGTAATGTTGTCTCATGGAAAAGTAAGAAATAACCCATGGTAGCAAGATCCAGTATTGAAGCTGAGTATAGGGCAATGACACATATTACGAGTGAGTTGACTTGGCCACTACACTTCCTCCAGGAAATTGGGTTTCCAGTTCAACTTCTTTTATAGTTGTTCTGTGACAACTAGACAGCTATTCATATCGCTGTCAATCCTGTATTTCACGAAAGAACCAAGGATATTGAGGTTGATTGTCACTTCATTCGGGACAAGATAATAGCTGGAAAGATTATGACTACATTTGTAAAATCTGAAGATCAGCTTGCAGATATGTTTATCAAAGTATTGAGTCGTACACGCCTTACAGCTATTTGTTTCAAGCAGGGATTATATGATATATATAGTCCAGCTTGAGGGGGAGTGTTAAGAGTATTAGGATAGTATGTGTAAATTGTTAATAGTGTTAGAGTATTATGTATAATTCTTATTATTGTGAGTTAACTATAAATACAAGTGATGTATGAGAGCTAAGTTAAGTTTTTAACCTCTCTCTATTTCTCTCTAATATTGTGTTAATCCTCTAAACTTAACATAATCAAAACAAAATAATGCTCACTTGTTTCATTTAAATAATTATAATTCAAAAGAAAAGGATTTGACATAGTCTCATGACAGGAAATTAACACACAATAAACAAATAATTACTATTCTCTTCCTTATTCATACAAGTCATGCATCCACCAATACACTTTTGAGATCAGATATATCTTTATTTAAGGTTGTAATGGGGCTTTAGGATTAGGATTTTCAAATGAAGGGTATTCAAGAATTTAAAAGACTATCCCGAGAGAACATGCACATTACACAACCAAATTTCTTTCCATAATCTTTCACTCTTCATTCTTTAGAAGCACAATTTACAACACTTTCTCATATTTTTTCAAAACCATGCTTGCTACTTTTTTCTCTCTTTTTTTCAATTTTTTTTTTCATAGCTAGATATATTTTATTTCTATTTTTTCAACTTTTCTTTCTAGTAAGACAACTGAATGTATATATTTTTTTTTTCTACCAAAACATCTAATGTAGATATTCACAAGTATGCAAATTTTTTTTTTTCCTTTTGATCATCTTTTTTGTACCAACATCTCTTAAATTACATAAACAATAAAGACTCAATCTCGGGATAACCAATAGTAAAAGATATTATTTTTTTTCATTTGCTTGGTTATTATATGTTTAGTATAATAAATAAAATTTTGTTTCAAAGGCTCAATCACGGCTTCTAGGGATAATAATATTCAAAGAATAAGACTCAGCCTCAAATAATAACAAAGATGACCTAAAATTATATCTCAAGAGTTCTTGATAATGCACTTCTCATGCAAATAATTCAAAGTTAAGCAATCATTCACAATATTGGTATTGACCAAAATAAAAATAATGAGACTATTGAAGGAGATTAGTTAAATAAAAATATTATTTTGAATAAATATAAATAACCCTCCGAGTAAAGATTGAATCAAAACTCACCAAAGTTTTCATGCATCTCGACTATATGTTTTAAGTTCTCA